ATGCAATGCAGTGATACAATTTTTTTTTCTATGGGGAATTCTATCTTGTGTCTAATATCCTTGGTACCAGTGCAGTTTCTTTTACCTGTGATTTACCTGCATGTCACTTGTCACTATGATCCAATCTGGTGACAATGAACTTCCTGTTATCTACAAAGCCACTGAAATCTATGTGGCTTTAAAAGCTTAGCATTTAGTCCTGTTGTTCCTTCCTAGGGAAATAATCTCTTTCAGAGGGTGCTAATACTACTGCAAAAGGAAACAATGCTATTGTCTGCACTTGCCACAACACCTCCATGCTATCCTGGTTCTCATGCTAGCTATGGCATGGGTGTGCCTGTGCAATTAATACCAGGTCTTTCACGAGACAAAAGCCGAGAACATACTCATCAACCACATTACTTTGTTTCATAAGGGTATTTACTCATCCAGCAAAACTATTTCTGGTATTACGTTTTTTTTGTTGTTCTGCGGTGGTATATTACTACAAAATCACCATTATAACAGACATTATGAATATTATTAAGCCAAAGAGATCAACTTTATTGACGACATCTTCCCAACATTAGCCTCCTTTGAATGGATAATGAATTGTATTGACCTAATTATGATGAATAAAACACACTCGTCTACAAAGAATCAAACGAGAGCAAAATATTTAGACTACTAGGCCTTTAAAAAGTGGCCCCAAGGTCAAAATTCAAAGAAATATAATTATGAGTTTGATTTTATGATGAAAAACAATACTTAGCCAATGTAAGATGTTGATTTTATCTGAAAATTCAATATAAAGCATGCTTTTATTTAATGTTTTACTATTACTTTCTATTAGTATTAAGTCAATTGGATAGCTCAGAAACGAGTAAATTTACAAGACTGAATTTTATACTGTTTGTGAAAGAGCAATATGGTCTTCACTGCCTTAATTTCAGGAGTCCTTCATTTCCACTTTAACCAAGTCAATCTAATTTCATAAATCAATAGAATACAGTACATTATCAAACCATTAAATTTATCAAGATAAATTTATTTTTGTTTCTTGTGAATAACAGTCTTTAATATTTGCCTTCACTTAAAATCATTCCTAATAATGAAATATAAAACAATTTTGAAATAATATTCTGTAGCTTGCTTCATTCCAAATTAATCTTCAGAAACTAAGCAGTGGATCATAATACAATCTATGTTTATGACATATAACATATAAGTACATTATCAGGACTTACGGTTATTTCCTTATAAATCATAGAAAAATAAAATTTTTATTCTGTATTATCCACAATTAATATTCTGTTATTTATCAATGGATGCTAAGATGCATATCATTTCCTATGGTTTCTTTGACCGAAAAGCATCAACTATAGAGGGCATTCTACTATTGCCTTGGGAGAAAGTAACAGACTACAGAAATTAACATGAAACTCAGGCAACTTTGGATTATAAATTTTAAATATTTAATAGAATGGTCAAGTTTATTTAAAAGAAACTTAAAAGTTGATGTATACAGAGATATTATTTTCAATCAATCGTTTTTATCACATTTTTGTTTTGTTTATAAGTTAATAAACAGCTACTAAATGATTTACTCTAATTTGGCATCTACAGGATTTCATTCAACTGCTTATGAATCAATATTTAATTCTTTTTTTTTTTGCAATGCTAAATGTTGATGAATTTGATAAGCCATGCATTATAAATAAAGTATTGAATGAAATACAATGTTTATGAAAGCTGTAAAGTTTGGGATTACCTTTGTGACATACAATACTTGCTAGGGATTTGTAACACAAGTAATTTGAGATGTTTTAAATTCAGGGGTTCAATTCTGGTGAAGGCAGATGGATGGATAAATTTATTTGGTCTAAACACCAAGGATAACCCATGAAAGTCTGAAGAAGACTTACATCCAGTGGGGTCCTTCTGGTGGTGACAATTCCCTACTCTTTTCTGAAGAGCGTACAGCGTTCTTTAACATGCACATGGGCCATAATCCACACAGGACCAATGGCTTAAACGTCTCATCCGACAGACTATGATCATTGTAACTTGCATTGCGTTCCTCCGTCTGAAATATGAGGGTAGCGATAGGAATTGAACGGGAGACAAGAGATCTCGATTGCATGGCCCACCCATCGGCCACCACCAGTTTAGCCGACTGTTTCTCATGAAAAAAAAACTCCATGCTTTAATCTTAATAGACTTTGTTTACCTTAATCTCTGATCCATTTTTTTTTGGAACCGTCTTTATAATTATTAAATTGTAATTAATAAATATCACGGATAGGAATTGGACGATCCTAATTTCACAGTAATTAAAGAATAAATTGAACAAATATAATTTATTAAAATACCTTAACAGGAATATTATTGATTTGATTTACTTACCGGTACCTAGTCTGTAATGACTTAAATCATAATATTTACTTTAAATCATAAATCTTCTGAAGTATACAAAACAGGAGAGGAAAACCATCACTAATTCTTAACAACATTAACCATGATTTATATTATTGAATTATTAATAAACAAATTTCTCCGATGATATAGCTACACAGACAGCTTGGCTTATCAGAATACACAATGTTCACAGCCTTGTGTTCCAACATAAATATGTATAAAAATCTCTAAGGAAATATATTATTCTATCTAACTTATTCAGGCATAATATATTCATGAAATAATTGCTAGTGGAAAAAGTTTATTGGCCATTTGAAACAGTTCAAACGGCAGCTAACGGTTAGCAGGATGTGGATTACAAACATACGCACTCCCCCGTGTGTTCATACAAGAAAATCACGATCTAGATACCAAGAAGATGATCAGATCACTGGCCAATAGGAAACTGGAAATTGGAAATGCGTACGACAGAATAGATAGAATTAATGATAGAAACACGCTCAACTTGCTAACCATTAGCGTGTCCAGATCCTGGCAACTGTTAGTGCTAACCGATCGGCGTTCTTACACAGGTGAGTGCTAACGGTTAGCTCCCAATCCGGATACTAGGGCACTCGTGTGAACCTAACTAGATCAGCAGTGGAAAGTCTTTACATTGGTAAAAAAAAAAAACAAACAAAAAAACAAACAAAAAAAGCAAAACAAACCATAGTTAGGCCAAACAAATAATAAAACAAGTTTCTCATTCTAGCCCTACTACTTTTTGGACCACTTTTTTTTTTAACAAGGATACAAAAAAACTTTGGTGCTTTCATAACCCTAAAAAATATTAGAGAAAAAAAAAATAGAAAAAAAGCGAAACAAAACATAGTTAGGCCAAACAAATAATAAAACAAGTTTCTCATTCTAGCCCTACTCACAGATCTAAGCAATCTTGCCAACACTGAGTAGCTGGCAGCGTCCAGGCCCTGCAGGTGTCAAATGTGCAGCCTCCTTTGTCAAAAATGTTGGTCTTATCAGAAAACAAAGATAATAGGAGACATAAAGCACCATTACTATTTAAGTATCTCCTTAGGAGATTCTAGTTTAGCATAAATACTTCCAACACTGTGAAACCAGATTCAAATGCTTGGTCCAATTCCTTGATAAGCTAATTCTCTTTTGTAGATCAAGCGTTCACTAAAAATATTATCTTCATTTGGTTTTAATTATGGTAAATGTTTGAACCTGTAAATTGAATTTCTTGAGGTATTAGTGCCAGATGGCTGAAACTGTCTGTGGCATAAATAAACTATGCATTGAAAAATTAAGAAATGATGAGTAAGGAATCAGTTAATGATCAACTGTGTATTTATCATGCACGTTAAAGCCTGCCTGCTTTGTCAAATAAATGATGAATGATGTCTCGCCTGCAGAAGCCCTCAGCGTACATGTATAAAATGCACACAAAAGTGTAATATATGCAGACTTGCTGTTTTTCTCTTTTTCTGTAGATTAAAAAAAATACTAATCTACATTAATGTTTAATATATATCCAACGATTTATTAGACAGAAATAAACGTAAGACCTAGCCAAATGCAAATAAAATTTCTTTCCTAAAAACACTTAATAGTTGAGATTTATAAGAGCGTATTATAGTTAAATGAAGATTTACAGTTCTCACTGTTTTCTATATAACATTCGTTTTTGAAGGAGAACGTCCATGAACCGCTGGTATAATCTGTCGCAGCGTTAAATTTCAAAAAGCATCAAGTTCGCTGTTCTGTTGATTGTAATGATTAGCGGAACATTCTCAAGCAATACACATTCATCTATGAGATCAAGTCAGATGATGTTTTTCCATGGTTGTGACAATCACTCAAAAATTTCAGAATAAATCTGGATACACAGTTCAAGGTTGGGCATGACCTCAGTGCAACCAGAGTTAGTAAAGGTTAAAGGTCATCAGCAGAGGTTAAATCTAGTGGTTTGTTGTGGTATGTTTGTGGGAACTCAAATATTTAGTTTGAAACAAAAAATATGGGCTTCAGGGAGTATTTTAATGTCTATATTTAATAACTTATTATAATCACGAGCTGAAAAGGGGAAAGTAATAGAATATACAAAAATTTTAAAGATACTGCTATAACTACCAAGTCATATCTTTTATATATGGGCATGATGATGTCATATTAGACCCAAATATGGGCATATCACTTTTATTTGTAACATAAAAACTTGATAGTGAGTACAGAGCTTCAGTTATAATACATTCAAAGGAAAACACACAAAAAAAATGCTAATAGGATTTCCGCATTCTGATGATGAAAAACACCTCCCTTTCTTGAATACGATGATAGCATTATAAAATGTGTTTATATAGGACATCAATGTATAGGCCTATTGTATCTTGTGATTGGTGGATTGGATGAGAATTAAAGGGAAACAAATCAGCTTTAGTGGTTTTCTATTAATAATGACTATGCAAGAATACCTAAATTGAATGAATGAACCCGAGCCTCCACTAACAGCTTAAGCAAAACATCAATGCTTGATTACATAATGAGGGTCAACGACCTAGCATCATTAACAATGACTTTGAGTGGTACTGTGTTAATCCTACCTGCAAAATCCTGCACGTTGACCTCTGCTCCTTGCTTGATTAGGCTCTTGGTCATCTCAGCATCGCCTCTAATGGCTGCCAAATGTAGGGGGGTTTCGCCCCTCTCGTTCCTCTTATTAGCTTTCTTGGCGCCCACACTAGTGTTTGAAGTTACTTGGGTCTTTGACTGCGCTTGTACTCCTACTGGTGTGATATGTTTCGACGTTGAATCTGGTGAGAATAAAATGAGAAAAATGCAAATTTTAAGGTACAAGCTGTGAAGTTTGCTTTAATGTATTCAATTATGACAGAACGAAAGACAAATATAAATGGTAAAATATAATTGGTTTTTTTTTTTTAAGAATTAGAATGTTGCAGTAATTTATCAATCAAGAATCACTAAGGGCCTCAAAGTGCTGGTACACAAAGCAGTGGATGCTGGTTTCTTCTGCATTTTTATTTTATGACATTTCTTGGGTTAAATTCCATGCTTTCAAGTTCCGTATTTTCATGCTTTGTCTCAAGCACTTTTGAAAGTGAATATACTTGATACAGATCTTATGATTATATTATCATTATAAATAAATTTGTTGTACTCCACACACAATAATTATCCTTCTAGAGCCTATATAATTTGGGTCCAAGAGATTGCTTTCCTTGGCAACCTATTAACTAATGACCGATAATCACTGGAACTTTCTGGCAAATATTTCTTGTCATTATCTTGGCACAACAAAAACATTAACAAGAAAAATAATATGAGAAAATATTCTATACATCTACACATAATTCTAAAATCCAGACATAATACTGTACATTACCCATTTTTATACCTTATTTTTCTAAGAATATTAGGAAGAAACCAAATGACTTTTGGCCAAAAAACTTGGCAACTAATCAAATTTTTGTGAACATAATGTAAACAGAAATGAATTCTCACGAGACTCCAGTGAACAGTTCATTTATTATGATTAAAACAACTTCACTGACTCTAGACAGGCTGCTAAGAATACCAAAACCTTTACATAACATTTTCATGATGTAAGGTAGCCAAGCTGATTAATTGTTCATTATATATCAAACGAATGAGCAATAACATTGACTAGCATATTGGTAATACCGCAATGAGACATATCAACGACGTTGACGTAGGTGGGTGCATGTTTGTGTGTGTTTATGTGTGCCTATATGCTACAAGGCTAGACACATTTTTTCACAACATTATTATTAAAAGACAGTATGACCAGCACTTTAGAAAGTGATGCAAGCCATTTTGATTCAATATTATTTTAGCTTTATTGTTCCTCTTTCGAAATTTTATTATACTTAGGAACATTTGCTTCTAAATTTCGGCTGAACCATCGCCACGATGAGCTTCTCTCCAAAGTATTGAGTACAATGACGAAAAAAAAATACAAAACAAAGTAACATGGATGCTTGTAAAAATCCAACACCCCCTTTTACTATCTTACTACTACAAAGGCTTACCAATGGAAATATGCATTAATTAGTCATCTAGCTAGCACAATTTTTACACTCAAGTATGTAATCTTATTTGTAAGCTAACGCTTCTAGACATCTAATCATGTCCTCGATAAAAAATATTCATCTCGGGCAAATTAAGACAATTCTGAATATTTTTTTTTATATTCATGTACCGTAATGAAATGGGCGCGTACGTGTGGAACACAGATACTCGTTCAGACTTTAATCATTACAAAATTCTCATCTATCTTCCACTTGGAAGATCATTGGATTTAGGCAAGTAACTTGGAGTATAATCATCTATTCACGTCGCAAGCTACCTCTTCAGATGAAAGACAACGCTCTAACAGTATTTCGTTCCTATCATTAAACATATAATCTATTATCAAGCACTTGTAAATTCACTGCAATCTCTAATATTGCAATGTCAATACAGGTTTTTCTCAAAGTCTATAGTTTCTCTCAAATCAAATGTACGTGTTGTTGATGGCTTTCTGATAAGGCTTAGCATATGGTGTTGCGTTTTTCAAGGAAAATATTTAGATCTTGCGGGAACATCTCAGATGATCCCTTACATCCTGCATGTCCAAACAACTAAATCCATTAAGGGATCATGTCAAAATATGCTAAACAACTCCTAGAAATAATGTACATAAGAAATGAATAAAAATATAAATAATATATCAATAAGTAAACGCATGAATAAATGAACATATCCATAAGTTTATGACCTGTATAAACAATATTTGAAAAATTTGGCAAATTTGACTATACCTATTATGAATAACAGTAACATAATAGGAAGTATACATTAGCTCATATTCGTTAATGATAAAAGCATGCATAGCTTAGAGGCACATAAAGAGTACATCATGCTAGTTCTATCCATTGCATTACTGTGATAAAAATATAATTTTAAGCTAAGCCCGTAAGTCCATATAACATGATAATATCAATTATTTTACAAAACTGCCTGATTGGTTAGATAACATGTGGGAATGAGTCATAAAGTATAAAATGGTAGCCTAGGCTAAAAAAAAAATGCCACTGAAACGTTATTAAGCTCAAGGGATAGATATCATGGGGCAACAACTGACTAGAAAATCTCTGGGTATTTCCTAATAATTGTTTAATGTAGGCCTGTAATCCAATGTCTTCCATAATAAAATTACAACAACCACTTGGGATGAATATATAACTAAATAAAACATTCTGGGTAGACATAGATATAAAAAAAATGCCAGCGAAATTTAAATTTCAATTGATAGAATATATAAAAAAAAAGTTTATGGTCCTTGTCGAAATCTATGAGAAAATTCAAGTTAGGCATATGGGAACATGCTACTTTTGAGTGCAGCTCCTAATATTGTCTATAGACTGGGAGAATCTCCTCCTTTTGAATAGCGGACTTAGTGTGTGTGTTTGTATGTGTACTGTTATTCACATACAACCAATGGCTTAATAGGGAGCTTTCACATTGGCGCAACGATGCGAAGCTAGAACGGAATCACTCATGTGTCACCGTCCTATCAGGCATCCTACGTTATCTGCATACGTAGATTTGGCCAAATTGTGTCCTAGAATCATCCACGAGATGAGAACTTAACGTTCTCGCGTGCACAGACGACTTTCAGTGACATCATTACGTTCTACGTCCTACCGTCGTCGTGCAATTGAAAGATCCCTAATACCTTATCGGAAGGACGAGGTAATGGACCTTTCCAGAGTGTCAACCAAACTTAATTACTGACCAATCAGAACAGGGCCAGGAATTTGTGACCTTAGCAACAATATCCAAGGGCCGGGGCTTAGCAAAAAGGTTCACTAAAACCAAGTGTCTTAATCAAGGGCACGAGGAATGCATTGATATTTATCGAACTTAGTCCCTCTTATACCAAAGTGCAACTCCTTTCCACCATGTTAAATCACCTTACATATCTCGTATCTACTTCTCTGACTGATACAGACAACTTAATTTGCTAATCCTTTGGGTGAAAAATGGATTTAAGTATAAAATTATATGAAGTGTCATTAGAATAAACGATCATGAAAATTCAACAGTTTTCACCATGGTTCCTATCTATGGCTCTTTATATAAGATTTGAATGTGTTATAGTAGTAATAAATACCTGAACCACAATTTCATGAGAAGTCACAATTTCAAAAGTAAGCAGTTATGGTAGAATATCATTAAAGTGAAATTAAAAATGATAAAACCACCATTGGAAAACCAAGCTAGGATTATGTTTATAGCTAAATCTCCAATATGTGACTGTACAATCAATTACCTCTGCATCTCTGAGATGATACAGAAAATATAAAATCATCATCATCATCTTTAAACCCCTTAAATGAACCAGGCAATAAAAACAGGATGAGAACTAGATCGCTATTTTCATTAAAAAATACGTTGAAGGGGAAAGATCAACTTCAATTTATTCTTTAGAGGATATTCCTGTCCGTTTTATCTCAATGTATAAATTACTTTTTAAATATCCTTTTTTTAAATAGCATATATTCGCTGGGAAAACAAATTGGGTACGAGGCAGCTAACTGCAATAATTGAATCTTGAATCTTATTCCTATCTGTTTTATATCATTGTATAAATTACTTTTTTAAATATCATTTTTATTTAAAGGCAGCATACATTCGCTGAGAAAACTAATTGGGTACGAGGCAGCAAAATACAATAATTGAATCTTGAATTTTATGATAAATTCAGAGGCACTGGATTATACGGCAAAAGGTTCACATACAACTCACTAACATTAAGCAAAAGCTAATCAAGATGTTATATGAATAATTAAATGAATTAATGAGTTCATTAATTAACAGTCATAAAGAAACAATTATTTTTCATCGAAAAAATAAACCAAATTTTGAATATTTAAAAATAGCTCATGACTTTCTGACAACTTATGTTAAGTTTAAAGGTCATCATCGCTGTCGTCGTCGATGCTGTTTCCGTCGCTATCGTCATAATTATTCTATTTCTATACATCAATAAGACACAACATGCTGTGGCCCAATGCACCTGTGTATACCTCTCATGAAAGGTTTCCCAATGTTAATGAATTTCCACATGTGTGAGTAGTGTTTACTACACATACCCCTTGTACACAATTCCATATACATAATGCATTATAGAAGTTGGGTTATAGAATTGAATAGCATTTATACTGTCCACTTAAAATGACAAAAAATCATAAAAAGTAATTTTTATATTAACTTTCTCATATTGCAGAACATACAAATTATTAACTTGAGCATAGAAATTATTGAATAAAAACAAAATGTGTACCCTGATGGTTATACTGGATAACGATAATAAACACTTCTAGTGACTGAAAGTGAATGTCATTTTCCACAGTAAAATTATGTGTAAACATTTTTTAAATACACTCATTTCTATGTTCAAGTTGATAAGTTTTATGTTACTTTAAAATGAGTTAATTTCAAAAACTTGATTTTTTTTTTGTATTTCCTTGTGGGACAATACATCTGCAATCAATATTATATTAGATGTACAGGTAGACAGTTTCTAATAATTAAATTGTATACTTCTGGGACAATATACACAATTTATTCTTGAAAGTAGATTTTGTAGATTTTGTTAATTTTTAAAATTAGATATCATGAGAGCATTCTTTTAACTTGCATCATCTTGGGTACCTTTTTAAAATTGAGACCACTGATTGGCTAAACACTTTCCATGATTATGAATGCATTGCAATGCCACAATATA